CCTCTCCAAGATATCTTGAAGGACCTATCTGAGAGATAAGACTCAAACCACTGGAGTGTGGTTCCTGAGATGCCCTTTGCCAATAGGGTTGACAGGAAGATCTGGTGGTTAACCGTGTCAAAAGCAGCGGACAGATCCAGCAATAAAGATATATTTATCCAGATAAATGAGCTTCGCGTATTTCTGATCTGCGGTGTGTGTGTGGATGAGCGTGTGTGTGAGACTCACCAGTGGTGGACGAGATGTTGACGTCGATGCTGATCTCGGGGATCCCGCCACCCCGCAGCGACGCCACGCACGTGTAGGTGCCGAAGTCTGTGAACTTGAGGTCTATGATGTCCAGGTTGGTGGTTCCGGGCGAGATGTCGGGGTCGGTCTGTGTGATGACCATGCGCTCAGAGCTGCGTAACGCCCGGCCGTTCTTCAGCCAGCTGAACTGCAGCTCCTCCGGCGGCGTGGCCTCCACCTGACACGAGATCTTCACCTCGCGGCCGATCTGGATGTTGTCGTCGTTGTGGTACGGGTCCGGAGTGATCCAGAAACGACCCTTCTTCAGCGCTGCAAACACAAAAACAAGGAAACACAGTCAACTAAACCATAAAAACTAGTTCTTGAAGATCCTCTGAAACTGATAGTACTTGATCTGAAAGACAAAAAACTGAAGGTAGAGGAGGGCTACATCTAAACTAAAACTATTAGGAATCATTTTTGAATTCAATTGAAATAAAAATGAAATAAAATAGAAAATATTAGATGTAAAACCTAACGAACTAACTAAAAAAACGGAATAATTGGAGACAAACTGAAATAAGTTTATGTTTAAGTACTAAAATTGCTAAAACTGAAATAAAATAAATTAATGCTAAATAGAAACATTTAAAAAATAAATAAAAATTACAAGAGCACATAATAAAATTACTAAAACGTAAACTAAAATTAAAACAAAAACTGCCAAGCTAAAAACCAAAGTTAACCAAAGTTTTAACCAAAACATTTTTGTTATTTTTGTTATTTAAAATAAATAAACAAAATAAAGAAATAAAAGTTAAGTATACGTTATTTCTCATTTTTTATTTAATTTAACTTGATGTACTAAAAAAACTACAACTAAATTAATTAATTAATTTAATTAATTAATAAAAATTAATAAAGTTA